GGATATAACATTGACCAGCTGGGCATTCAGGTCTGGAGGGAGTAACTGAGTTAAACAGCCCTTTCATGTCAGCCAGTGTTTTGCCCTCATTGGCCAAAAATGTCATCAATTTAGCCTGAAAGTCATCATCCTTCTCCATGGGGATTTGTAATGGGGAAGGCTCAATAGCAACACTGACCAGCCAGGGAGCCACCTCACCTCTGACACCTATCTGCTCAGGTATTCTGACTGTACTGACATCATTTGAGATCTCAATAAGAACTAACTGGCTTTTCCCAAAGGGTGCCAAGCAACACCCTCTCACTTTGGATTGACCAAAGACTTCAACATGATCCAGAGCATGATAAAGAATCTCATCTGTGACATCAACAGGCACATTACTTAGCACAATGGCATTTTTAGGATTAATACCCTTCTCCTTATCTGCTCTGCTTCCATGTTGCAATAGATCTCACAAAAACAAATAAAATGAAATATCTATTTACCACCCTCACTAACAAGAATGATTTGCAATAACTTCACATGTGATACAGTACTACCATTATATACAAGCATTATAACAGGTTCACCTGAAGGAAAGAAAAGAAATCACATGTATCTAAAAATTACAAATACAGCATAGAACTATCCCGGACGAGCCCCCAAGTGTAGCCCCTCCACTCAGCTTGTTTTTTTTTTTGTCCACGTGTATTACTGACCCTTCTACCATGGACAACAATATATTACACCACAAGGGAGGAGCTTAAGTGGAGTGTACCCGGCAAGATTATACGTCTAGGGTTATTTGATTGCGCAGGTGCCGAAAAATGCCCGGGATAGCCTATGGAAATGGATATTGCTGAATGCTGAAATAAATTACCTCCCTTGCTTTATGCATATCTTAAGGAACGAACATTAGACACTGTATCCTATACATGTTGACCGATTTTCTTAACAACACTACAGAAATAACGTACTTTCACAAAGATAATGTATTTATTTACAGAAAGAAAAAAATCCGTATGCGTCATTTACGCTTAACTCCAAAAATTTACCTTTATGCAAAACAGCTACCCTGTTCTTGCTGTTACATACACGATAAAACAGAAAATACCCGATGGAAAATAACAAAATAGAAATAAAATACCTGGGTTTTAAATACAACCACACACACACAGTCTGGGGTATCCCTTAGTTAGCGCGCAAGTTGTAGCTCGTAATGGCGGACCAGAACATGTTCTTTTCTTTTACTCACGAAACCCTTCCTAGGTCACACCAGGAAGCGTCTTGCCCATAAGCATCCAAAGTGAATATTTCCAAGGAACAGGTGTCTGTGCATTGTTCTCCCGGGATGGCACCTCACAGCAAATCCCAATATCGTGCCGTCCGTACACCCTGCTGTTTCCCCGCGCACTGTCCCGAGCGAACTCGCCACGGTGTAGTTAGCTGTCTTCGGCGCTCAGCCGAACGCTTACTGAGCTGCCATTACAATCCCAGAAAATGGAAACAATAACTAAAAGAAAAAAACAGACGACAGCACAACCTTTGAACTTAACTGTAAACTTAGCCCATCTATCTAATAACTTAAAACATAAAGAGACCCTTCCTTCCTTCCCGCGCTCCCTCCTCCTTCTCCTTTTTTTATCTGCCCCGCCCCATCCCAATACCAAGCGTTTTTACAGGCTAACCCCTAACCAATCACACGCTGTTATATAAATATATATGTATATATATATATATTTTCTTCCCTGAACTAATTTTAAACAGCCTTATTGTCTTCATGCTGAACGTATATAAAATCAAAACCACTGCCAAGCATTAAAACTAATCTTCATAAATTTGCTAACATTACATATAACCATTTTATTAAAATAAATGCAATGTAATTGCCAGGGGTACTGCACTATCACTGATTCCTTACTGATCATAGGACGGGCAGCATAACGTAATCGCAGCTCAAATTAATGAATTGCTCATAATAGGGGAAAGTTTTGTGGCCTGGGACCAGGGTTTTAGTCTCCGCCATGGTTCCATGTTTGTGGAGTCTGCATTTTCTCCTCGTGTTTTCGTGGGGTTTCCTCTAGGTTCTCCGGTTTCCCCCCACAGTTCAAAAACATGCTGAGGTTAATTGGAGTAACCTAATTTTTCATAGGTGTGTGTGTGTGTGTGTGTGAATGATTAGGTTTTTAGATGTGAGGACCATTTTTCAGGTCCCCAGAAAGATCTGTGAATGTCATCAAAAAGGTAAAAATGCCAAAAGTCTGTTTTTTTGTTTGCTTACTTATGAGTAAGGTCCAGGCTGGGTGGGGGTTAGGGTCGTCATGTTGGGATTAGAGTTTTCCCCATAAAAATCAAACCTGTCTATGTGTGTGTGGGTTTGAGCCCCACTCTGGGTTATTCCTTGTCTTGCGCCCATAGCTTCTGGCATAGACTCCAGACCCCCACTACCTTGAATAGGTCAAGTGGGTACAGAGAATGGATGGATGGGGGAAGGTTGTTTTCTGCAGAGATTTATACCTGGTTAATGGAGGGCTTGTGTAAGTAAGGCCCATCATCTCCAGTGTCCAGTCATGGTGACCAGCATAGGGCACAATGCAAGGGACACTCTGAAGAGAATGGCAGTCTATCACACACTATGGCCAATTTAGAGATGCCAGTGTCCGACTGTGGGAGGAATCCAGATTCCTCAGTGAACACACTGGATGCCAAAAATGTGGGACCCAGGCTTTCATAAATGCCATTTTACACAGTTAGCGACTGCTGCTTCAGCCTTTGAAAGGCACGACGTGAGCAGGCTACCATTCATCCCCAGTTTACTGTGCCATCGGTGTGCGTGCATCCTTAAACACAGAGAACCGCGTTTAAAAGAGAGAGAGAGAGGTAAGGAAAGCCAGCTGGGTGACAGCAGCTGGAAAAGAAAGAGCATCAGTAATAGGCAGCACCTCAGAAGGCGATAAATAATGTAGGAGAGCTCCGCTTGAACCCTCTCGATCCAGCCTCGCTGCTCAGCGGATGCCCACCTCCTCGAAGCAGGCGCGTCTGCGAGAGGCGAGATGGTAACAGAAAACTTCTCGCCGCTGCTTACCTCTACTCTTCCTGGCATGCAGTCAGTGAGAAATGAGCAGGACCTGAAAGATGGAAAAAAACCGACAAAACGACCATGCATCCATTCGGTGTAGCTATGGGGACTGGCTGCATTTCAGACGCGTTTTACCCGTGTGACGCACACCTGCCGAGTGACACACGGGTGCAATCGTCATCCTCACCGGCATCCATGCGTGTCATAAACCCCTAAAACAAGAGCGAGGCCGTGTTCCACAGACGCACAGAGTTCCCGGCTTGTTCCACAGACGCGCAGAGTTCCCAACGTGTTCCACAGACGTGTAGAGTTCCCAACGTGTTCCACAGACGCGCAGAGTTCCCGGCGTGTTCCACAGACGCGCAGAGTTCTCCCCATGTTCCACAGACGCGCAGATTTCCTGCCGTGTTCCACAGACGCGCAGATTTCCCGCCGTGTTCCACAGACGCGCAGAGTTCCCCCCATGTTCCACAGACGCGTAGAGTTCCCGCCGTGTTCCACAGACGCGCAGAGTTCCCGCCGTGTTCCACAGACGCGCAGAGTTCCCCCCATGTTCCACAGACGCGTAGAGTTCCCGCCGTGTTCCACAGATGCGTAGAGTTCCCAACAAGTTCCTCAGACGCGCAGAGTTACCGCCATGTTCCACAGACACGCAGACTTCCTGCAGCCTTTGAAACTGGGAAACGGTGACTATTTTGGGCCTATGATTCATCACCAGGGTGCCTTGAATTTGACTGCAGGGCTTTGCATGCAGCCGTGCCAAACTCATAAAAATAACAGGCAGATTGATATAGAAGTGAGTTGCAGCGAATGGGATAATGAGGCTGGTTTGTATCCGCTTCTAGGGTGCGATGATAACAGTGCCTGGCCTGAAAGGTCAGTGCTGTGCTTTTAACTCTGAAGCTGTTTTGGGAAATGCCCTTCAGTGGCTGTTGCACATTTGGGGAACCCCAATCCTCGCAGATGCTTGGGCTCCTCAGCCCACCCCAAGCATCCCAGGCATTGTTACACAACCTGGATAATAGCTCCACAAGTAGAGCATTGCCTTAAGAACACCACAGCTTGTTGGTTCAAATCCCCAGATGCACATGTAAATTGTAAGCCCACCCTCTGCTGTTAGTTGTTTTTTATAAAAGCATCAGATAAATGGCTGCAATATCTTGAGAAAGGCGGTGCATGGAGCCGCAACCCCCGATAACGGTAATCTTTCGTCACATCCTGCTCGCTGAGCGGCCTGCTTGGACTTGGGAGGTGCGCGTGGGCCGTGCCCTCGTTTCAGGAAGAGGAGCGAGCGCGGATCTGCCTCTGTCATCCTAAATTACCTCATTGTCATAATTGCTCAGTTGCTTAACAGATGCTGTTATCCCAGAGAAGCCTCTGTACTCCTTATAACTAGGTTACTGATGCAATTACAAGTTACAAACTCATTACGCTCAATCATATTTCTCAGAATAGAGGTGCCAGCTAAATAAGTGCTAAACACACCAAACTGATGAGGGCAAAATGAATATCATCTCAAATGGACTGTGGCCAAGCTGTCTGCTTCCCCCAAGTGTGACTGATGGATAGCCACCGTTAAGTTATTAATTATAACAATCTAGTCTAATGCCTAGACGTTTTTTTTTCCCCCTGTAAAGAGACTTTGGGTTTTTGAAAAGCGCTATATAAATGTAATTATTATTATATTGTTATAATTCTAGAATTTGACCCTTAGGGGAGGGGCGTAGCCCCCAGGAGGGCTGCCAACTTCTGAAGAAATGTAGAAAGATACATTTTCTGGGGGTGGCTGAGATAAAAACTATAGTGGATGAAGCCCCCCCCCCCCCAAAGAAGGCCTAGAACAGCCTACAGTGTATAGTCAGCATCGGGTAGCCATCCGTCTGGAATGGGTGTCGCACTGGGTTTGCAGAAGGACGGTACATGAATGAGGTGTGGTGCCTACCTGTTCCCTCAGAGAGTGATGGATGACCCCACGTGGAGGGAGATGGGGCCACAGCAGCTGGACTCTCACCTGCAGAGAGGGAAGTGTTAAATGAAGCCAATGTGAAGTCAAGCATTATTTCCTGGCCAATTAGAGACGAGAGGATACCGATTCACTGGAAGATTCGATTCACTGGAAGATTCAGATTCACTGGAAGATATCGATTCACTGTCCTAAATTTCCTCTGATGCGGGACAAATTCACGTGATGAAAATAGAATCATCAGGCACAGTTATTCGTTTATTTTCACGGTTGTTTCTGCAGAGAGGCTCCTGTTTGTGCGCTTCGCAGTGCGAATGTGTGCAGTTGGCGAACGCTTCCCGTGATGGTGTGGAGTTCCATGCAGTTAGCAGCAGTAAAACAGAGCTGTGGACCTCAAGGGGTTAAAATAGCTGCCTTTGTTCTATCTATCTTTTCTTCCTCTGATGTAGAGCAGCCCTTACACATCTAAATAATTCAAATGCAGATCTGGCATCTCCAAAGGCCTGTGTTTATTTAGCATTAACAAGGTCCACGTAGCTGGTGTTATAATTAGCAGTTAATCACAGGCCTCAGACGCATGTGGGCTATCGGCGCGATCGCAGGCTGCCGCAGAGGAAGCCGGAATTAAAATGGCTGCTCATTTTCTCCTTCTTTGTGCATGTTGCATATTAAAAGCTGTCCGCTAGCTTTATCAGATGCCTTTTTCTTCTTCTCCAGGCAAACTCAAATCTAAGCGGTAATGCAAAGCCACTTGGCGGCATTGAAAAGGGCACATGCTCGTGCTGCTCTGTTATTTTCGCCGTGCTACCTACTGCCATCCATCAAAACAAAAGAAACCCTTTAGTTGTCCAGAGACCAAAGCGCCTCTCACTTTTTTAGCCTTTCTGATCCGTGTAAAGCGCCCAGATTCACAGTATGCTGGTAACCTGGATGCCGGGGAGACAGCCGCATCACGGCAGGCTGTCTGAACGGCCCAGATAAGTGTCAGAATCGAGTCGGCGAGTAGAGGTGGAAAGTTCAGGTCCAGAAAGTACAAATCCAGATCAAGGTTTTGTGGCTGTGACTCTTTATACTCAATTGGTTGGTTGAAACAAAACCTTGGTCTGGATTTGTATTTTCTGGACCTGGACTTTCCACCTGTCGGCGAGTGGTCTTCCCCAGCAGAGGGGCCCACACCCTGGGTGAGTCATGTCAATGGGCCTGATCACCGCAAGCAGCCGTGTTCAGTCTGAGTCCGCCCCGCACACGCCTGTCCCCACCCAGCACACGCCTGACCCCATCCCACACACGCCTGTCCCTGCCCCGCACACGCCTGTCCCCGCCCCTCACACGCCTGACCCCGCCCCGCACACGCCTGTCCCCGCCTCTCACACGCCTGACCCCGCCCCGCACACGCCTGT